ATTTTAATATATGTAATACACATGTTAAATGTTGATTATATATAACTAAAATTTATAATAAATTATATATACAAATAAAAATTATGTTTGAATAGATGAGTTATATTTAAAAAATTTATATAAATAGATATTTTTAACATTTATAATTTTTTTTTCTAGATTTATGATAAATAATTTATATTATAACACAAAATTATTTTTATTTATTGTAACTTTATTTTAAAAATTTTGAAAATTAATTGATAAATAATTATGATAATAAAAATTAAATTAGATAAGAATTTAAAAATAATCTTTGCAAACCATTTCGTCGAAGAAAAAATCCTAAAACTGATGTCGCGCTAGATAGTAGTTCATGTTTAATATATAATCTATATCTATATTTGTAATATCCTGTTTTTTGATAAATTAATAATAATATAGTTGTTTAAATTAATATTTATATTATAGACTTAATTAATTTATTAATTAGGTTTATAATATAAATAAGGAATTTTTATAAGTAAAATAAAATGGAAGTGTTTTGGGTTATGTTGGTTTAGTGGATTTGGCTCAAGAAGTCCATCCCAAGTTAGACTTAAGGATTCATAGAGAGGGGATTAAAGAGAGAATACTTCAATGGTGTGTGTAACATCCCAAACACACCAGAATGAGAGAGATTCATAGATTGTATATGTGTGAAACTATGCATTTGAGAATAACTTAAAACAATTAATTTGTGCTTGATTTAAAGAAATTTAGGGATGGATGACCTTTTAAAAAGTTTCCTAAATAGCATGCGAGTGAGGACAAAATACATTGAATAGTCTTGTGTTGCTTTGTAGGGTCAATTCATGATCTAAAAGTAACCAAAGATATAAAAAAAGTATCCTAGCAATGTGTTATGCATTTGTGAATTGTGATAATATTGTGATTATATCCATGCATATATGCACATAAAATTAATAACATAAGAGTGTATGTGCCAAGTATCTCTAGCTGTGTGTATTGAAGTGTGTTGTATTGTGCTTGTGATGTACTCTTAGTATTCTAATTGACTTTCTAATATATACCTTAACATGTGTAAGATATATTCAAACTCCGCTTTATGTTGTTTGTTTTCTTTCTCTGAGTTGATTGTCACATATGTGAGCATGATCACATTGAGTAGAATGAGATTGTGGAAGATAAATCTTAGGCTTTTGCTCTATTGTCAGGTCACTTTGATAGTTGTGACATCGAGGTTAAGATTAGTTAGATTTATTTTAGTTTATGAGCATATTTATTACTAATAGTTTTTTTAGTTTTCCTTGAGAACTTTTAAAGGTTATTTTAATATCTAAACTATCCTTTTTATTTAAGAACTTATATTTTTATTTTATTCTTGAGTTTTATTTAGTAAAGTCATGAGATATGAATCCTTTTGCCAAATGAGTATGAATTTATTATATTAAATTGGGGTATTTTATTTATTATTATATTAAAATATTTTAGGTTAAAAGTGTCAAATAATTGTTTAGTAAAGGATTCAAACTCAAACCTTTTTCCATATTTAAAGTCTTTTAGTACCACTAAACCAATTTTCATGATTAAAATTGTTGTCGCAATTTTATTTTCATGATTAAAATTGTGGTTGCAATTTTGGTGATAATATCTATAAAAAATTTTAGAATTATCAACAAATATACATCTTTCAAAATTAATTTGCCAATTTATCTGCCGATTTTACACCCGTCAGAAATATTTGTCAATAATTCTAAACTTTTTGACAGACTTGGATTTGTCAAAAAATATCCATCAATAATTTGCATTTTCTTGTAGTGATATATATGTGATTTAAATAACTTTTATAATATATATTTAATTATATATCTGTGTGTCTGTCTGTCTTTGTGTGTGTGTGTGTGTCTGTCTGTGTGTGTGTGTGTCTATCTCTGTGTGTGTGTGTGTGTGTGTATGTGTCTGCGTGCGTGCGTGCCGCATATGTGTGGGGGGGGGGGGGGG